ATCTATCCAGTACCATCGACCCGGAAGAACTCATACTGTTAATGACAACTTTTTGCGTTCTGTTACTTAAATATGAAATAATTAATTTAAGATCATCACTTCTTACACCGTGGTGTTGAAGTTTCCTGATTAATGTTTCATGGTGAACACAATCGAAAGCCTTGGATAGGTCACAGAATATACTCAAAGCATCCTGTGAATCCTCCCATGCATTAAGGATATATTTAATCAGCTCAACACCACCATCGGTTGTCGGGCGACCCCTTGTTAAAACGAATTGATTTTTATGAAGTAAATTATTTATATTAAAGAAATTTAACATTTGATCAAGAATAATTTTTTCAAAAATCTTACTAAGTGTTGGTAGTACAGAAATAGGTTTACAATTGGCGGAGTCTAATGTACTACCAGATTTAAATAACGGTATTAATTTACAATGCTTTATTAAATTAGGAAACATACCAGATTCGATACTAGTATTAAAAATAACAGCTAGATGAGGCGCGATTGTATCTATTATAGACGTAATAACTTTAACGGAAATCCCCCACAGATCCGCACTTTTCTTAATATCAATAGTTTTAAAATATTTTAAAATATCTTTTGATGATATTTTATGAAATGTAAAATTCTTTGTACACGCTTTTACATTTTGTTTAAGTAATGGTTCGGCGACGGCAGGAGAAGAATTCAGTGACTTAGTGGTTAAGATCGGAATATCAGTAAAATATTTTTTTAAAAAAACCATTGCAACGTCCTGATCTGATTCAGTTAATTGGTTGTTAATACTTAACTGGTAGTCTGAATTGCGAGAGTCGATTTTACCAGTTTCGCTGTTAACTATACTCAATGTCATTTTAATTTTATTAAAAGCCGTCTTAATTTTGTTGCTCAAATACAAAGACTTGGCTGTGGAGCACACTCTTCTAAATATTTTTACATATTCCCTAAATTCGACGCTAGGATTACATGACCTTTCATGGTAAAGATCATATAATATTTGTCTACTCTTATGGACTCCTACTGTCGCCCATTCATTGAATGACTTCCGATTGTTCAAGGAGAATGTCTTAGAAGTGAAAGTATTATTATTATTTTAAACAAATTTTTAAGTTATTTTATAAAAATATTTAAACAAAATGGTCGATTGGCTTTTCCTCCAAAGCTACAAAATATATAGACAAATTTTCCAATGTATAGATGCCACTTCACGTATTCTATTATGTATTATTGTCTGATTGGGGAATTAACTGCTAAATAAAAAGTAAATAGAGTAAAATATTGAGTGTATGTTTTATATAGTTTGAACAGCCGGTTTAAATGACGTTTCCTACACGAGTCCCCTGGGTACTAAACGAGCAGCATCACTTCCGATGGTAGGTTTTAGCCACTGGCTCTTAGGTTATCGAACCGATTTTTCACAATGCAAAGCAATACACCAAATGATGTTGTCGTATTCCATCATGACGCTTTTTTATAGATTAAGGTCGACAAATGACCACACAGTCCACCTGGTCGTAAACGGCTGTTGTGGCCCATATCTATCCTTGATTAAGATTCAAAATGTAGATACGTTGTCATCCGTGAAGACAAAGATGGAGTGCCTCGTTTCCAGTAAAAAGGGTCTCCAGTTCTCTACACTCACCACACGAAACACAGCAGCATCTAGGTGCTCTTTTACGCTTTTATTTTGTGATAGCGTCGTCTTACTCAGGTTGAGCCGACCCATTCGTTCTACATTCTTAATATAGCTGCAACTTGCCTCTACTACGAAAAAGCTTGTTGAAACCATATGGTGAACGAGTCTGAACAGAAGCGATGCGTATCTAAGCTGATTGCGGATTGTCAGTTGTTGTTGCATCTGGTGTTCGGTCGCAGAGAGTAGCGCGCTCCGAGGCACGGTGCACCCTAGCCGACCGCGGGTAGTAACTAAATGAGTGAATTACCTACTCGTGATAGGCTGCACCACCACCAAAATCTAATGATTGTTCCATCGTGCCGGTTAGTGACCGGGTAAAAAAATCAATGGCAAACTCTGAGAAGATCCGGGCATCCCCCAGTCTCTAGATTAAGGTCAGGTCAAGGTAAGGTCATAGAGATCTACATCTATCTTTGTTAGCGAATTAAAATGCAGATGCGTTGTCACCCGTGAGAATAAAGATAGAATGCCACTTTTCCAGTAAAAAGGGTCTTCAGTTATCTACACTCACCATACGAAACACAGCAGTATTAAGCTGCTATTTTTCGCTGGTATTCTGTGAGAGTGTGGTCCTTCCCCGGTCGAGCCGACCCATTCGTGCTACAACTATACTATTATAGCTGAAGCATGGCTCTTACACGTATCTATACTAATATGTGTCCAATAAAATTTAAAATTTGGTGTTACCAACTTCATTATAAATAAAATGAGAACATCGTCGTATTTGAGTACTCGTATCTTTTCAATTGACAATATTTAAGTTCAATAAACTGCAGTCAGGAACAAAGAAAACATATTGTACCCTGTCAGACGGCAAATATTGGCAATAAGAATCGGCAAATAGCTGTTGTAGCTTCGTAAAACAATTGCATTCAATGTGTGAAGACAAGCCACGTTTTATATTTTCTATTATAATATGATCACACTACATAAAAACCAAACATCGGAATAAAGAAACGGAATTATCAAAATGAAGATAAGCAAAACATATGACGTCATTAAAGTATTCGATAATTCAATTATTTTATTATTGACAGCATATTATTGAAACCCGCATCCACGCAAACACGCATGCACGCACGCACGCACGCACACACACACACTTTATTATGATCATTCAATAATAAATCTATGAAAGCCATTTTTCTCTTTCTTGAATGTTTAAATTTTTGTATATATTGTAGTATGGTGGCAGCTAAAAGAATTCCATCACTCCATTTCTTCCCATAGGTGCAGTAAGAAATGAATAAGTGTTATATCGGAAGGATCTTATGGTTTATGAAAGACGGTGGTATAGTCATATTTCTTACGCCAGTCACCTTACTGACTCCATTTTTCAAATTTCACTTCAAATTTTATTAATCGTACTTTAAAAAAACGTCTTTTTGATATTTTCACATTCTATGACTTATTCTTAGGAGGGGGGGGGGGGGGGGGGATTACGGAATATTACGAGTATATCTTACAATCGAATTTAAATAATGTAATAATGCACTTAAATGTTACAATTTGTAAAAATATTTAGTGTATGCGAATTAATTACTTATATTCTATCATTTTATGATATTAAAAATCTGAATTTTATACATTTTACAAACTTTTGTATAGAAATCCAAATTTAATAAAATTTGGTATGTAAGTATAAAATAGGAAGTTTTTGTGAAATAAATACGTATTTCTAAATGCGAATAAAATAGTAGTGTATTATTCAATTTCAGAATAGACACCTGAAATATGTATGCTGGAAGTTAAAAATGTCTTAGAAACAAGATTTTATGACGTAATGCGAGCTCTGATATAGACCAACAAACCTTCGCCTTTTAAATGGAGGGACGTAAAAGTAATCTCGCGCCATTCTCGGACTCGCTAGTCAATTTACTTTTATGATGATGCTCTACGCTTGTTACCATTCTATTCCCTAGTTTATAGCTTTCGTAGTTTAAGCGTTCTAGACTATTTACAAACGTAAATCAAAAAAAATTAAAGTATCGTTAAACAAAGTTATTTAAAACATCATAAAAAAGAAACACTTTAAAAAATACCTTATATTTAGAGTATAGCACCTAATACGCTCACGGACACCTGAATCGAGCCAATTCGTATTTTATGTTAAGAGGCCTCTTAACATAAAATACGAATTGGCTCGATTCAGGAGGCCTCCAAGTATGGTAGTATGTCAAAAAATGCAGTTTTGTAGCTGGCAAATTCAGCGTTATTTTAATGTTCGCCCAGGCACAGCCACAAAGCGTTTCTTGAATTTTCACTCAGGTCAGGTGACGACATAAACCGACATTTTCTTTCTGTTGTTACATAGGATTGGGCCCCACCTGGATGGCAAACGAATCCGCCAGTCTCTAGGTAATGATAGTACGCTCTTTGTAAAGCAGAACTTTTTAAATGAAATTGTGAACTGACATTTCGATGACTAAGCTCAGATAAAACATGTGCCTTTGCTAGTGTAGACACGTTGGATGTATTAGCCATAGCTTCAAATGTACATTCGAATACCAAATGCAATTTATGCAATAAAATCTAAAGAAACTTTACAGTACCTATAGATTACAGTACACATACGGACAAAGACAGTACTTTTATACCCGTAAAATATTAATGTTTTCATGCACAAACAATAATGGTTTCTGCTATTTAAATCTACTTCAAAAGAGGAATCCGATATAAGACTTGCTGCGGTCTTCTCTTTTCTAAAAAATGTGAAGATATAATATTAAAAAATAGCAGGCAAGTATGGCAATATAAAATTAAACATAAAAATATAATATTAAACATTATTAGATAAGCACGGCACTACACAATGCTGTGTTAGTGCCTACCTAAATGTATGGTAGTAAAAATTGGGTGTGGCAGAAAAAGCACGAGAGTAGAATAAATACTGTAGAAATTCGGTTATTAAGGAGTATGTTAGGACTGAATCAGAATGACAGGATGAGAAATTGTGTAATAGGAGAAAAATGTGGTTTATAAGATGATATTGTCACCAGGACTAAGAAAGGAGTGCTTGGGTAGTTTGGTCATGTAGAAAGAATGAACGAGGAAAGATTTATAAAGCAAATTTATGTTGCAGATGTGAACAGCAGATTCAACAAGGGATGCCCTAGACGAAAGTTTGTCGACATTATTGGCGATATGTTGAAGATGGGTCAGATTAAGAGTACTCTTACCCAACGAGCATGTATGCGTAGATACATGAATGAAAAATGTGAATGTAAAGGTGTGTAAGGATCAGGTCAAATGGAAGTCTGTAATCTTATGTAAACATTATATAATTGAGTTCATTTATTACCTTACAAATTCGACAGAAAAATCAGCAGCTGCATCACTAGGTTCCTCCCAGCAAGATGCCGTGGCGTCACTCAAAAATTGGGCTTGTGCCGACCACGCATCACATGCACGTAAAACTCGACGGAGTGCACCGACGGTTAATCTCACTGCAGATTCTATGAACCTTTTATCTAAAAATAAATATATTTAATGTTGAAAATAAATGTATAAATATTAATTTGAAGTGAGCCATTAAATGTATTAGACATTTAAACTAACAAAATTGGTTAGTGCGATAGTTATTAATTACTTAATGTAAACAAGTGCAACAAAAAATATACTAGGTACTTGATAAAGATTTTATTACTTACCAATTATCATTGGTTGAGGGTAAAGTGCCAACAGCCCTATTGGTAGGCTATTAAAATCTGTAGTTTTGTTATCTTTTGACTTTTGTTTTTTATACTCGAACGTCTCATTCTTTAGTACATATTTATCTCTTTTGTTCACCATTTTATTTCTAACAATAGTCATCGTAGAAGTATGCACCGTGGGATTCATTAAGAAATCGCTAATATCACTTGAAAATTCTCTATCTTTAAGATCTCGTTCTTCGTCTTTAATATCTAAATATTTATGTTCTAGATTTTTTTTTACCAATTCATTTACATTTATATTATTTACAGAATTATTAAATAATTCATTTTCTAATTTAATATCTAAGCCTCTATTTATGTAACTGTTATATAAGGAACTATCATCTTCCTTTTCTAATGACTTGTTTCCAATTTTAGAACTTTCAACGCCTTTGTTATTTACATTTAAATTTCTTAATCTTTCCAAACTACTAATTTTACTAGTATTATAATACGATTTACTAAATGTTTTATTAATGTGCGCTTTAGATTCATTAACATTTCTTCTAATATATCGAAATAATGTATTTTTTGAACTATTACCTATATTTAAAAGATATCCACTAGTTACATTTTCATGTATTATTTTGGACATTTCCTGCAAATAGCGGTTGTTCACATATGCTATTGAATTATTGTCTGCATCAACTCGTTTTCTACGTTCAAAACCATCGCTAATAAATGCTTCCTCCTTATCCAAAAAATCTTTAAAATTTTGATTTTTATCTTCGGTATTATGAGATAAATTAACGATGTTATGGAAGACGTCAAACTCGCGGGAAGCATCAATCCATAACCAAAAGAAATGGCCATCGAGCATGTTTAATCGCTTGGCCTCATCCATAACGATTTTAGCGTAATGAAGGTCACATATCAAAACGACAACACCTCGAGTTAATCTTGAAACCTCGGCGAGCCGTCTAAAATCAAATTCAATATTAGTAGGATAAAATGGCCACATACATTTCCATGTTAGAAGTTAATTTTAGATTTACATTATGTTACAGTTATAAATGACACTTTTTAATAAAGACTTACCTGAAAATAACATGTCGAGAATATTTTGTTGGAAGTGAAAGCCATTTAGGACTAAGCGGATGTGATGTAAGAATAGACGATAAGTCCTTTCTCAAGTAAAGAGATGCATATATATCCTCTTCAGCCAACAAAGTGAACTTGTGCCAATGTGTATGCAAAAGAGTTGCCCTGTGAACCATGGTAGAAAAAGTAATAACATTATAGAGTTATTGTTCCATCAACATATGATACATTAAATTTGCAAAATATATTTAAACTAAATCTTGCGCAGAAACAACGACTTAAAGTGCTTTTAGAGGCACAGGAGTGAAACACCACCATTTTCCTTAAGCCGCTACTGATAATTTTATACGTGGTAAAGCCATACTGCAGCTATATTAGTAGTACAGTTTTATCACGAATGGGTTGGTTCGACCGGGGAAGGAACACGCTCTCACAGAATACCAGCGTAAAATGGCAGCTTCACACTGATGTGTTTCGTATGGTGAGTGTAGAGAACCGGAGACCCATTTTACTGGAAAAGAGGCATTCCATCTTAGTCCGCACGGGTGACGACGCATCTGCATTTTGATTCTTTATTAAGGATAAATGTAGATGTCTATGGCTCACAGCAACCACTTACCATCAGGTGGACTGTGTGTTCCTTTGTCACCCTATCCCGTAAAAAAATGTTAAGAGAAAAATCCAAAAGTGATTTTGGCCGGACCCAGGTTTTGAATCAAGGACTACATTATCAGCACACTACGATCACTAAACCACCGAGTCTGCCGATTTTTTTTGTTATAAATAAATAAATTCTTTATACGTCACAAATCTTTTAATAAATAAATGTCAGGGTAAACTAGTTGTAAAAATTGTATCTTAAAAACCAGTGTCGCCAGTGTGCGTGCTCTCCCTCTATCTCCCCCCCTTTCACTCTCTGTCTCTCTCTCTCTCCCTCTCTTGTTGTGTGTGTGTATGTGTTGTGTGTGTGTGTATGTGTGTGTGTGAGTGCGTGCGATCGAGTGTGCGTGCGTGCGAGCGTGCGTGCGGGAGTGTGTGTGTGCGTGCGTGTGTGCGTGCGTGCGTACGTATGTGCGTGCGTGCGTGTGTGTGTGCGTGCATGCGTGCGTGCGTGCTTGCTTGCGTACTTGTGTAAAATGTATATTATGTATTGTAAGTTGGTAGGTCCTTTTCTCTCTGTGCGTCTCTTAGCTTTTATTTTGTCGCTAAACAGCAGCACACCCAATGCTGGATTCTAGTTTTAAGGGTTAGCTGGCCAAGATAATTGCAGAGAAAAAGCGTATTTCGTCTTCAGGCGCGATAATACATCAGTAACATTAGTGTGTTAAAGTTTACTGTAGGAGTCCGATGCCTGCAGTAGCCTTGTACCTTTTAATGTAAGCGCGTTTGGAACTGTTATAAAAATGATAAACTTTTAATTAATAGCAAAAGCGAATATCACAAGTTCAAGTCAACAACTAAAATGTTGTCAAACAGTTACATTACAAATTCATCCCTTTTCCAAAATTTCTCCAAACTTATATAGGACTACCCCTATAGTATACGCTATTAAATAAACAAAATAATTATCAAAACGCTTTTTACAATTGATGAAGACATCGCGTAACATAAAAAAGGATATATAGAGAAAAAAGTAAACAGTCAAATTGAGAACCTTCTCCTTCTATTAGTCGGATAAAAAAGGAGAATGCCCTTACATCGATATAGTTAGTAGTGTTATTTTATTCTTACTTAAAAATGAGGCAACTATACTTCGTAATGAAATATAGTATCTACAATTTACTTTTTTATAAAAATTATCTGTAGGTACCTTAGTGCATGTAATGTCTCCCTTGCAGTAACTTCTAGTCTAATCTCCAAGGGCAGCAGATCCTGCGTGTAGAAACAAGTTCTGTTAAAATAATCATGGCTTTCTTACTTCTATTTCTTGGAGAGGATTTTGATATTGATAAAAGACTGTTGGCGGACATCACATATCCTAGAAATAAATAAATTCTCTCAGAAATACAATCTTATGGGGGATAGTCTGTGACCAAAGGTGGGGCATATTATGTAGACTGTAAAATAACTTTGAACTTTTTAATATTTTTTTTTATCCATTATACATGGTGGTGCTTCTAAACGTTGACTACATAATCTAATCATTCAGTGTCATTGGGCGTCATTGAGTATTTAATGTCAGTGAAAAACAAATAGCTTCCATTTTCTGCGATAACTACTTGAGCTAAAACTTCTAATAAAAAATTGGCCCGATCACTTGATAGATCTCTTGAAATTAGTTTTCCAGAATGATTTTTTATATTTACGTGAACACTACACATTGGATAAAACTACTTTTACGGATTCTATTACGTTTAATTAACTTATTTTTTATTAATTCCCGACGTTTCAGCTCCCGTTTCCCGACGTTTACTTTACAGCACCCATGGTGACGGGGGACTGAGGTGATTGACGTCCCGATGTCAGAGTTAACCCGGAGTACCTTCAGCTTTTTTAATTATTTATACGTACTTTGAAGTGAAAACCTGGTAAAGTCCAATCGCGGAGCATGAAGAATTTCGTACATTGAACTGTCATTACCTGACTCTGTCACTCCCGCGTAAATACAATGAGTCTCGCTCGCACAGATGCAATGGCCGCCGTCCTCAGGGATTGTAAACCTTTTACTGGAGACTATAAGGTTTGTTCTTGTTTGCATAATGTGGTTTTGGTTGGCCTTGAGTCACGACAAAAAGTCCTTGGTTTGCTTGACCTTGACGTAATTAATAATGTTAAAATAACGAACGACATTCCATCTTGGGATGCGTTAGTGATCGCTCAGTTTTCGGACACAGTTATTTACCTATTCTTAGTTTGTTGTTGTTTGTTAGTTTTTCTTATCTGGTTTTAATTGTTAAGTGGTTTTGTTAATTTGTTAAGTTTTATTCACTTTTTTAAAATAGAACCAGCGCCGTCTACCTCGCGTCCATTCAAGGAGTTTGTTTCTCCGCGGAAGAATGGAAAAATGTCACACTTTAGTGTATCTGATAAGGTAATGATTATTAACTTGTTTAAATACGTTAAAGAATCGTGGCCTGCTGATAAATATCCTTCAAAAAAAGATATGAAGGACAAAACAGGCGATATCTTGGGCATTTCGAAATCGGCCATATATCGTATCTTAAAAGAATATATCGACACAGATACCGTCAAGCCAGCTGCTTCACCGAAAAAACGACTCTCATTAATTGAAAAGATTGATGGGTTGCATTAGACGTTGGGGTGCATTAGACGAATAGTGCACAGCTTTTATTTAAAAGGAGAGTTACCTACAGCAAAAAAGGTGCTACATATCATAAATACAGACGAATCCTTACCAAACATGGGCTTCACATCGTTGAATAAATTACTGAAACATTTGAAGTTTAAGTATGTCAAACGAAGGATAAATAACGGGTTAATCGACAAAGATAACATAGCATTGTGGCGTATCAAATATTTGAAAAATATCAAAACTTACCGACAGCAACAACAACCAATATATTACTTGGATAAAACTTGGGTGAATGCGGGTAAGACTTATTTTTATTAACTGACTTAAATCTATACTAAAATTATGAATGTGAAAGTAACACTGTCTGTCACCTTTACACGCCTAAACGGCTATTAACAGTTAACCTTTGATTAGTTTATTCATTTACTTTTCAGGGCACTGTTGGCAAGGTGTGGAAAGACACTACAGTGCAGTCACGAAAACAAGCATTTTTGGAGGGTTTGTCGACGGGTGACAAGAATCCTACTTCCAAAGGCAACCGGCTAATTATTTTACGTATAGGAGGTGAACAAGGATTCGTGCCAGAATCTGAATTGGTGTTTTAATGCAAAGGTACAGGCGATTATCACGAATCGATGAATGCAGCCAAGTTCGAACATTAGTTTCAAGCAATGCTACCGAGACTTGAGACAAACGCAGTGGTTGTCATGGATAATGCCAGCTACCACTCAAGACGCCAGGAAAAAATCCCAGTTACTAGTTGGAAAAAAATAGATATTCAAGAATGGCTTTCATAAAAGCAAATTTCTTTTGAGGCAAAGGAAACAAAAGTCCAGCTCTTGAAAAAGGTGAAAGATGTCAAGATTCAGTACCAATCGTACGTGGTCGATGAGCTGGCAAAAGCAGTTGGTGTGGAGGTATTGAGATTACCTCCGTACCATTGCGAATTGAATCCCATCGAACTAGTGTGGGCAGACGTCAAGGGGTATGTGGCCCAAAAAAATACAACATTTAAGATGGCAGATGTTAAAAAGCTGCTCCAGGAGGCTTTAGGCAACATTTCAGTAGAAAAATGGCAAAATTGCATCAGTCACGTAAAAAAAGAGGAATCGAAATTAGCTAGACTAGATGATAATGTAGACAAAACTGTTGATTCTTTTGTGATAAATGTGACAGGCTAGACGTCTTCGGAAAGCAGGTACTCCGTTACAGAGGAATCGGAATCTGATTTTTTATTTTTTTTTCTGCTCAATTAGTAGATACTTGTCTAGATTTTTATTACTTGTAATATAAAATCTAAATAAATAATTTATATAATAATAATAACTATATTTCATATGTTGGTAAATTTTCTTTCTCCTTCAAATATTTCATGTAAACCGCACTGAATACAAAAATGTTTGTGACCACTGTCAGTAGGTAAAGAGGTCATTGTACGAAATTCTTCGTGCTCCGCGACTGGACTTTTGCGTAAATACGTCTTATTTGTACGAGTAATAAGCAACGCGCGGTCTATAACCTGTCAAAACAATCTCTGGACGACGCGACAAAGGTATGAATTTCGCAATAAATCCCGTAAATAAATCCCGTATGAGGACATTATCTGCAGAGTTGAGGACTGTCTGTATAAAAATAATATTAGTAGTGAAGATTGAGAGGCCATACGTGAAGACATTACGTTAATGTTACGTCGAAGTTCAGCGCCGAAATTAAATCTTCCCAAAGATGAATTTTATGCATCGAAAAACTTACGCAAGACACAAGATCTCACGATTCTCCGCGCAGATAAAGGCAATGCTACAGTTATAATGCATATGTTGGATTACAATTTTAAAATACATCAATTTTCATCGGAAGAAAGTACGTGCGTAAAGGTCATAACAGACCCTACAACTAATACGCTTAAAACAACTAGCGATCTAATTAAGAAATATTCCGAGAAATTGAATCTAGACGTTAATTCGATAATACTTGCGTGTGCCAAACCACCGAAGTTGTATAGGTTACCTAAATTACCCAAACCGAACGCTCCATTACGTCCAATAGTGAGTCAGATCTATTCGCCAATTTACGGATTGGCCCAACGCTTAGCAAAAATACTATCACCACTCAGAGGACACACAAGAGCACACACTAAGGATTCATACCATTTTGAAAGTGAGATAAAGACCTATGTCTTACTGACAATGAAACCATGGACAGTTTTGATGTTTAGTCTCTAGTTACATGCCTGCCTGTTGAATACTGCATTTCCATTGTAACTAGGAAACAAGAGGAAAACAACATGCCAGCAGAATTTGCAGTATTACTCAGACATTGTCTTAAATCTGGCTATCTATTGTGGACCGAAGAATTTTACAAGCAAGTGGATGGTGTTGCGATGGGCTCACCGGTATGGGAGATAGTGCCGCCGATATATTCATGGAGGACTTTGAGGAGAAAGCGCTGTTTACTGCACTTGTAACTCCAAGGTTCTAAAAGCGGTACGTAGACAATACTTTCACAATTTTACCATCAGTCAAAGTAATTGCATTTTAAGAACATCTTAATTCCATAAACTATATAATTAAATTTACTGTGGAGTTAGAGGCAAATAATTCTTTAGCTTTCCTAGATGTGTTAGACATTCGAAATTCTAGCAACACCATAGGTCACACTGTGTATAGTAAAAATACCCAAACAAACCGATATTTAAACGGTGAAGACCACCATCATCCTTCACAGTTAGCTACAGTGGGTAAATCTTTGTTACAGAGAGCACGAAGGAACTGTGACAGCAAACACCTGACCACCGAGCTTCAGCACGTCAAACAGGTTCTGCACGACAACAAGCTTCGGGTCCCGCGCCTACGTCACAGTGACTGAGTGAAGGCGGCAACAGTCGAGCGTGTGCCTGCTGTACTACCATTTGTCAGAGGTGTGACAAACAAGATTGGCTACATCTTGAAGCGAGCTTCTATTAGAACATTATTCAAGCCGCCGAAGAAGATTAGTCAGTTCTTACCATACGTCAAGTGCAATATTCCTCTACCAGATGCAGGAGTGTACAAGCTTGATTGTGAATTTGGTCTCTCATATATAGGACAAAAGAAAGCGATTTATCAAAACCCGCGTAAAAGAACACATAGCTGACGTGAAACACTAACGTTCCGGGAAGTCTGCAGTTTGTAATCATATCATAGACGGCCCCCGTATCGTTATTGACTAAAATTGTATGGAAATATGAACAGAGCCCCTGGGAGACTTAAATTAAACTATGCTTTTCTTATAATTACAAATTTTAAATACAAATTCGACATGATAGAAACTCATGCTCTGGGCTCTGAGGGCTGTCAGAAGGGAAGCTCACCCTTCTATGAGACATATCGCAATTGAGTCGAGACAATACAAAAGGATATTAACTATTCTTGGTATTCCACCAAAAACGAAATATTTTCTTAGTTTTAATATGCAGATCGACTAAAATATTTCAGACTAAATTTTCTTACTAATAGATTTAATATAATGGAACTTTTCTTCCTTTACAAATTATGTAATAATATTGTTGCTTGCCCAAATTGTTAACAAAAGTAAACATTTTAACCTTAAATAAATTACAACGACCCCGTGTTTGCAAAAT